GTGAATCCACAGGTCAAAGTGTAAATACATACGAGTTTTTCTTCTTTCCTCCCATCCATTTTGTTTTCTCCCTGACATTCAGGACAAAGTGATGCATAAAAACGCGCTACCTTTGGTATTTTGACAAGCTTTTTCTTGAACAGTGTCAAATACCTTCCCTTCTATTTCTTTTATTTTATTTCCCTGTGATTTCATTTCTTTTTGTTGGATGAGATGTATCAAAAATTATGAAAGAGTACGCATGAAGAAAATGCAAGGTGAAAAGACTGAAAACCTCAGCAATGCTCTAGCAACATCTAGAAGAGCTAGCCCACAACTGAGAATGGCACCTCAGATCCTCCTTCAGACTACAGAAGTATTTTCTCCTTTCGTATTGGACAAATAATTCAACTTATCTGATTCAACTTCCCCATCTAAAAATGGGTCAGAATTACAGCACCTAATACTTCTTAGTAGTGTTACACAAATATAAAAATATTCTATTCACAAAATATCACAAAAAGAAAAATAAAGCAAACATTTTAGCCAATTAGTTGCAACTGTTTAAAACAAGATATAATTGCTTGAAATCTAGTATTATGGGTCACATATTCATTCCTTAGCAGAAGTAAGCAATGTTTCTTCCATAAGCCTCTTAAAATCCAACAGATCAATAATGATGAAACTACTATCTCTATATGTACACCAGACAAAATGCATCAATCACGATGATTGATCTCTTCCAGTCATTTAGTATTATAACAGGAATAAAATCCATGTGCTGGAAGACTAACACACTCACTGTCTCCAGTATGAAAATTAATTTATTGTTTTTTACAGAACAGGAGGCCACTATGCTAAGGTCCTGCACTTTACTGTTTAAACTGTCCTATTGTACAGAAAGTTACCATTCTTAGTCTCAATGGCATGCTATTGGTGACTTAAGTGCATATTTATTTTTCAGTAAGGTCCTCTTTTTCACTGGCAGAGAAATGCAATGTTAACACATGTATTTATGTAAAAAAAAAAAAAATAAAAAAAAAATTATGTAACACACCCCCTATTCCAATCTGGTGGAGGATTTTGGTCAGTCATAACATGGAAATTTTTTTAGCCACCATATTTTTATTTGCATGCACATATGAAAAGCTTGAAGTTTCACTGTAGCAAAGAAACATTTCTACAATCAAAATGTAGTTCAAGTCCTATGTGGAGAACGAGTCATTATAACTGTCTACAAATACACCAAAGATGTGAAGTAAGTTTTCTTCTGCAGGGCAGAAGTGTCAAGAGGACCTACAATTCTTCTACTTTTGTGTTAGAATGAAAAGAAGCTGTTTGAAATTGAATAAAACCAGTCACCTTTCTTCGATTCCATAAACATTCTTTTACCAGAAGTTTAAATTAATCCATCCCAGATTAGGGATCACTCACACCAGTTCAGAACTGAGCCAAACACTTTTAAATAGCAAAACAGTCATGCTGAAAGAATTTGTCTACCAAGTAAAAACTACTCAGGAATTGCTAAATGATAAAAATAAAAAAAGAAAATAAATAAATTTAGAAATGCTCTCTAACACAGAGACCAGCGTTACTTCGTGATGTATATGAGAACACTTTCCAAAAATAGATGTAAATGTCCTTGGAGGTGAGATGAGTTAGTACAGAGTGGAAGAGAATTCCTATCTCATCATCAAGAAATAATTTTACTCATTTGTAAGAAAGGAAAAAAGATTGATCCCTACCATCTCCAACAAACTGCAGAAGGGCTAGATCAATTTGTCTCTTCCAAGGTGATCCTTTCTGAAGTGCTATTCCATAGCCTGTAGTGGCAAAGATGTATCCACTCCCTATTGTGACAAGTTTGCAGCCTTCATCTCTTCCAGCTTTGTAATTCAGCACCGCTGCATCATAGATGAAAGCATCCAACTTCCTGAAATAAAAGAAAACGTTTTACAAACCAAATCATTAGGGACAGCTGTTGTCAGGCTTCTTTTGTCCTTGATGTTAGGACCCTGTTGAATATCATATGGATTCTTTGATATCATTAATTACATATCCTGCTCTGCTGTATCTAAAATTAACAAAAGGCATCTATTTTAGTGAGGAGAAAGTAGGACATATAGTTTTGCATTTCTATTTTAAGGGATGCAGTTAAAAAGTACTGAGCAGAAGAAACCAAGCTACAAAATATCTTGTCCTATTATCTTTGTATCTTTGCTTTTAAAATGGATAATAAACATACTGAGATGCAAAATGATCTCCAAAACCAGCACAAAACCAATAGAGAATTTAGAATTGAAACAACAATAATCAACTAGCTTCTTTAAAATATTGAATGAGACTAAAGACATGGCTTCATCAGTTTTCCACACTCTCTTATTTTACGTCTCTTTCCAAAAATGAACGATGAAAGTGAGGTTAAGTCCTTGCTAAGACAGAGAAAGGTTTTGGAGCATATCTGATACAGCTATCTAAATCCTGCTTAAAAATTATGGAAAATATGTATGATTCGCAGTCCCAAACACATTAATTGTGTACTGGGAGCACTGCAGGCATAAAGGAACTTGTGGAAAAGTTCAAGCCTTTCAGCCCATCTACCTAAAAATGTAAGAATGAGATAATCCCATTCTCTTGGTAAGGAAAGGAAAAGAAGCAGTTTCCTTCACAGATAGTTTTAAAGCAGCACTGTGAAGCAAGAGTCAGAAGAGACATGGATATCTCACACATGAAGTCAGTAAAAGTGTATATACAAAACGCGGAGGCCATTCCGAAGGACAATCACTTGCCAGCAGTAGACCTCAATCAAAGAAAAGACATTCTTATACCTACAGAAATTCCTACGCAATCTTTAAAAGGAAGTAGGTAAAACTTAAGTTTATTTTGTATTGCTGCCCTCAACTGCAGCCAAACCCTTTATTTCAAGATTTCTACCACTTGCACAAGACTAGCAGATATAGAGGCAACAAGGAAAAACCATCACCTTGGCCCAAACCCCACCTAAATGGCACACTAATATAAAGTTACTACGGCCCCCAGTAACACACTCTCTCTTTCCAACATTTTTGCCCATCCCATGGGAGTCAGAGGAATGGGGAGGACACAGCTACACAATCAGCTTCACAGGTTGGTGCAGGAGGAGTCTTCACCCTGCCGCCCTCACTGGCACCGCAGGTCCCAGGCGCTGTCAGCTCTTTGAAGAGCCACAATGCATTACTGTGGAGCACTGCTAAAATTTTCTGACGGGATGCAAATTTCAGAGGCTGACAAAATACTGCTTGTAAACTGTTAGGACCCGTCTTCATGTAAAGGGAATTATAAAAATAAACAGGTACAAGAGCATCAACTCCAATTATATTACATCAGTATGTACCAGTTGTGAATTCTGCTGCTGTTGAAGTTTTGGAACCACACTTGCCACTAGCTTAAATCAGTTTATGTTGATAAAGCTTTTCATTTATATCCACAGAACAGAGTGAGACCTAGGCATATCTGATTTTGGCTACTGACAGAAATAATACTTTCAAGCACGACATAAATCACTGCTTGTTTTTAAATAATCAATCAACAGATTCATACAGAACCCTAACTTTTGCAGAACTCTAGATCAGATAGAAAAAATGGGGCACTAAAAAACATCCCTATCCATCTCACATTAAACCAAGAGAAATACCAGTAGAGAGTGAGGTTGTTGGATTTTGTCTGCTGTCATGAAATAGTGAAGAATAAAGTTCCTGTTCTTACTGTACTTTATTGCTTCCCATCAAGGACACTTACTCCAATAGTCACCATTCAAGTCATCAAATTGGAGTTTAGTGAAGTAGTTAATTTAGAGAAAGTATAGGTGGCTCATGCAACCAATAAAAGAAGTAGCATCAATGCTAAAAGTCTGACTCTCTCCTTGCTTTAAATGGGTAACTTAATACAGAGAAAACAGTTGCAAAACATCTGGTAGGTGATGTGTCACAAATTCAATCCAGAAATAAGATATGGATGGCTACCTAGCACTGAGGGTAACTAAACTGGAAATAGCCAAGAGGGTGTTGGAGTACTTCCCAAGCCTGCAGTCTTCAACACAACATCAGAGAGTTTTCTAAATGACGTGTTTTGATTCAGCACTTCGGAGACAATCTTTGCTTTGTGTACAGAGAAAGAACAAAAATCCACGTCCTTTGGGTAGGTGCACAAGGGACAAGAAGAAAACTGCTTGCTGTACCCTCAAGATATTTGTAACATTTCTGATCTACAGCAGACAATTACCATAACCCATACAATCCAATCTCGTGCTTTTAGATCTCCACAGTTATCTGTGGGGAAGGAAGGATACTTCCCCTCTCAGTGGGTGCCTTCAGCTCAGGTGAGGGATTGGAAGGCAATGCTCCTCTCTGTGGGTACAGACACTGCTGCAACCAGCCGACCTAATTTAAAATACACTTCAGAATTTGTCATCTGTTTATTCTGGGATTTACAGTTTTGCAATGTAGGCACATAAAACACATGCTGATAAACACAGAGGAAATATAGAGACTCAGCTATTCCTCTGTCAAAACAGACTCAGTCAGAAATACAGAGGAAAAAGATCTCTTTGCTAAGGACTCCAGGGCAAAAGCCTTGTGCTACCTCAGAAATCACATTCACACGCAGCTTGCCTCCTTAGTTACTGAGCAGTGTAGCTAACCCTTGGGACAGAAAGACAAGGCACAATCGCAGTTTCACTCACTCGCTGTGGATCCACCTTCCAGCTTCCCAGAGTCTGTCATCGGCTGCAGTGGGTACATGCAATGAAAGCAGGTTCTGAAGACACAGCAGGCTTTACTTTTGAGGGCTTTCTCTATACTACTTCTATAAGGTCACAATAAATCTCATTATGCACATCGATTTAAAAACATTATGTACTTTCTTGACAGATGCTGAGCACTGAAAGTTTCTGCTATCAGTTGCTGCCCAATGACTGAACTGTGAATCAAAAAGTTGATAGCCCTGAAAAAGTCTTACTTTCTACACGTACAAACTCATATTCAGAATATATTTTCTCCATTTCCAATGTAAATCCTATAACTTCTCAAGGCTTAATTACCTCTTCATCATGTGCTGATTACAGGAGTACTGTTCCTTGCAAAGCAAAGCTTCAGAACATGACGTACCCCTGCAGCGTGGGCAGGGAGTAGCAAGCCACGACTGAAGCTCTCAGATGTTAGGGCACTCAACTCCTCCATTGCTAGGAGGTGAATTTCCTGACACTCTGAATTTTTAAGAACTTTCAGACAACTTTAAATGTTCCTCAACATGAGTTTCCAAAAACTGAGACAGCAAAATCTGGGCAAGCCCAAAAATTTGACCCTTTTCAAGTTGTTTGCAAAGTTGGCAGTGATAAGCTCTGGAAGAGGAGGCAGCAGGCACTTGTGCAGGCAGCAAGCTGCTGGGGCCACAGAGGACTTTCCTTCCTGCTATGTCTATGTGGGGAAAGCCACATCTGCTGTTTTGCTTGGCACTGATGGAAGAGCCTGGCTGCGTGCGTGGCAGTGAGTGCCGGATGCAGTAGCCCATCCTTATCTTGTCCTTCTCAAGACAGGACTGGCAAGCCTGGATCTGTGCTCCAGCTCACCCTTTTCCTCTTTCTTTTTTTTTTCCACAGATGGAGTGGCAAGCCCCAGGATCTTTGTTCTTGTGGTAACAAAATTCAACTGTGCTACACAGCTGAGAAGCTTTGTATTGGTCTGAGCGCTGCCCGCTCTGCTATTTAAGTTACGTATTCACTGTAAAACAGCTTACACGCACTGAGTGCAGCACTCCACATCAAGAAAGGCTCAAAGCCTCTTGCAAACCTTAGTCATGTAAAAATGAATCAATTAAGTTGTCATTTCGGTGCAGCCACTTCAGGGGGCAAAAAGCTTTGTCACATTGTGTAGGTTTAAATAAGCTGCTAAAAATTATTAGAAAGATGAAAGAGAACTATAGAAACCAAAATGCAGCAAGAAACAAGATTTATAACTGCCAAGAACTAGCCAAACGTGCCAGGCATCTTCAATGGATGCAGAGGAACAGGACTATGGTGTTATGACTCATCTGAGCAACTGGCAGGTTTGTAAACTTCCTCGAAACTACTGCAATAATCCTAGGTAGAAGAGAAAATAAAGATTTTGGAATCTTTGTATAAGAGAGACTACAATAGCAAATGTCCTTCATTACCTAGCAAGCACAAAGAGGAAGGTGGGGGGAGAATTTCAGCTCACAAAGCATAGGAGAACATCAGGTGTTATAAAATTATGATTTGGAATAGTCCTTAAAAAAAAAAACAAAAAACCATTACCAAATGTAATAACTTGAAGCAAAATTATGATTTGGAATAGTCCTTAAAAAAAACAAAAAAACATTACCAAATGTAATAACTTGAAGCGGGAGATCTGTGAAAACCAAATGTGGACAGTCTTGTACCTAAACATTCAGGAGTTGCTGAGAAGTGTAAGAGCTGAAAAATCAGAATAGCTATAGCAAAACCCCATTCTCTAAAGTGTTGCTGTACACATTGAAAAATGCCTGTGTAAAGAAAACTAAACTTAGAGGAAAAGGTACAGAAAAGTAATTTCAGAAAAGCTGAAAACACTTCCCTGTAATTTTCCCCATCCTTATTATTGGCACATACTTTTCATCAAACTCCTGTGACGAAAACCGAAAAGCAGGTTTAGGAAAATATTCCTTTATCAGTCATAGCTTCTTCCTCAACAACAGAAGTATAGCTCACTTGGAAAATATTACTTTGCTTCCTTAACCAACTATATGATCCGTCAGAGATTTTGTTTTCTTGATGGAACAAGAAGGAAAAATCTAAAATGGTGATCTCCTCAGTAGTTCTGGAGACACAAACAGTAATCCAGCACACAAGAAATAAATTTCTTTCAGATATTTTGTGTTTGCTATGACCTGCATCATAGT